AAAACATTAAAATAAAAAAAATAAGAATTAAAATCTTTCAAACAATTAAAAAATAATAAGTTTTTAATCAACATAAAAAACAATTACAAATTTACTGATCAAAATTATCCTCAATTAATAAAAAAATCTAAATTGGTTGAGTAAACATTAAATAAATATATATTTTATATTATTAACGTCGACAATCATAACAGCTGTAGTTGTCTCGGTATGCATGCAATTATTTGTCTGTCTGTCTGTCAATCTGTCTGTATGTCTCTCTGTATATCTGTCTATTTATTTATGCAATTACATCTGTCTGTCTGTCTGTCTGTCTGTCTGTCTCTGTCGAATACTTCATTTTTTCCGACTCCTAACCACATATATCCGCATTCTCTTACAAAAACGTCAATAAATCCTTCAGCAAAAAAAATCCACATTCTACCCAAAAAAACACTTCAACAAATCCCATATCAAAATCCACATTCATCACTCACGAACACATCAACAAATCCGGATTCTCACAAAAACACCAAAAAAAAAAAACACGCTTGGATAACGACTTCATAAAAAGTTAAATTACCTTCCGGGTCTTCCGTCGCTTATAAGAACTAACAAGGTCATTAACTCAAGGACCTAGTTAAGTAATTAGGTCATAAAATGGTTGTTTGTGTTTTTATTGAGATGTAAATAAATCGGGTTTAGGTTAGGTTTAGTCTTCTAGGGAAAATAATAATTAATCCCAACGTGAGGCTGTTCTAGTGACGCGGGGTGATGTTACCATAGCAACCCTTAGCGACCCTGGCCTAGCAGATGCCGGAGGAGGCTGGTGGGTGTGGTGGTGGTGGTGGTGGTGGTGGTGGTGGTGGTTGTGGTGGTGGTGGTGGTGGTAGGGAGAGGTCAACACACTAGTTCACTTTAGTTTTCATGGCAATACTTAACCAGGCCTTCCCACTTGCCCATGAAAGAAGTAATCTATTGCCCATTGCCCAAATTACTTTCCAGAGCACTGACTTACCTATGAGGTCAAGTTCACTATTACCCCACAACCAATTAGAAGCTTCACTGTGCCTGATTGGATGAAGTTAGGTTTTCTACGTCATAATAGGCTCTAGAACTGGCTAATCATGGTTCGCCACGTCACACAAGGCTTTTAAGAAATGACCAATTAGGGATCCCTACGTCATCCTAAGCTCTAGAAGGGAATCGATCACCATTCGCCACGTCATAACGGGACCCTAAAACTGACCAATCATGAGTCCCTACGTCATATACAGCTTTAAAACTGACCAATTGGGGTTCGCCTCGTCATAGTAGGTTCATCTTACCCCCATAATCTATTAATAAGACAAAACAACAACATACAGCAATTACAACACCATTAACAACAACAATAACAAAATCACACATATAAGGGTTAAACAATGTATGTATGGTAAGGCGACATCATTCCCTCCCTCGCTACCTCCCTCACTCCCCTCCCTCCCTCCCTCACTCCCCTCCCCCCCTCCCTCACTCCCCCTCCCTCCTCCCTCACTCCCTCCCCTCCCCTCCTCCCTCCCTCACTCCCCTCCCTCCTCCTCCCTCTCCTCCTCCCCTCCCTCCCCTCCCCTCCCTCCCTCCTCTCCTCCCTCCTCCCTCCTCCCTCCCTCCCTCCCTCCCTCCTCCCTCCCTCCCCTCCTCCCCTCCCCTCCCCTCCCCTCCCTCCCTCTCCTCCCTCCCCTCCTCCTCCCTCCTCCTCCCTCCCCCTCCCTCCCTCCCCTCCTCCCTCCTCCCTCCCTCCCTCCCTCCCCTCCCTCCTCTCCTCCCTCACTCCCTCCCTCAAAAACACACATCACCATTATCATCTTCCTAATCCGTCAGTGTAAGTCGTCAGAGGAGAGTGCGTCACGTCAGTGTAAGTCGTCAGAGTAGAGTGCGTCAGTGTAAGTCGTCAGAGTAGAGTGCGTCAGTGTAAGTCGTCAGAGTAAGAGTGCGTCAGTGTAAGTCGTCAAGAGTAGAGTGCGTCAGTGTAAGTCGTCCAGAGTAGAGTGTAGTGTAAGTCGTCAGAGTAGAGTGCGCCAGTGTAAGTCGTCAGGTAGAGTGCGTCAGTGTAAGTCGTAGAGTGCGTCAGTGTAAGTCGTCAGAGTAGAGTGCGTCAGTGTAAGTCGTCAGAGTCGTCAGTAAGAGTGCGTCAGTGTAAGTCGTCAGAGTAGAGTGCGTCAGTGTAAGTCGTCAGTAGAGTGCGTCAGTGTAAGTCGTCAGAGGCGTCAGTGTAAGTCGTCAGAGTAGAGTAGAGTGCGTCAGTGTAAGTCGTCAGAGGAGTAGAGTGCGTCAGTGTAAGTCGTCAGAGTAGAGAGTGCGTCAGTGAGTAGAAGTGCGTCAGTGTAAGTCGTCATAGAGTGCGTCAGTGTAAGTCGTCAGAGTAGAGTGCGTCAGTGTAAGTCGTCAGAGTAGAGTGCGTCAGTGTAAGTCGTCCAGAGTACGTCAGTGTAAGTCGTCAGAGTAGAGTGCGTCAGTGTAAGTCGTCAGAGTAGAGTGCGTCAGTGTAAGTCGTCAGTAGAGTCGTCAGAGTAGAGTGCGTCAGTGTAAGTCGTCAGAGTAGAGTGCGTCAGTGTAAGTCGTTAGAGGAGAGTGCGTCAGTGTAAGTCGTCAGAGGGTAGAGTGCGTCAGTGTAAGTCGTCAGAGTAGAGTGCGTCAGCGTAAGTCGTCAGAGGAGTAGAGTGCGTCAGCGTCAGTCGTCAGTGTAAGTCATCAGAGAGAAGTCGTCAGAGTAGAGTGCGTCAGTGTAAGTCGTCAGAGTAGAGTGCGTCAGTGTAAGTCGTCAGAGTAGAGTGCGTCAGTCAGCGTCAGAGTACGTCAGTGTAAGTCGTCAGAGTAGAGTGCGTCAGTGTAAGTCGTCAGAGTAGAGTGCGTCAGTGTAAGTCGTCAGCAGAGTAGAGCGTCAGTGAAGTCGTCAGAGTAGAGTGTGTCGTGTAAGTCGTCAGAGGGTAGAGTGCGAAGTCGTCAGAGGTAGAGTGCGTCAGTGTAAGTCGTCAGAGGGTAGAAGTGCGTCAGTGTAAGTCGTCAGTAGCGTCAGTGTAAGTCGTCAGAGGGTAGAGTGCGTCAGTGTAAGTCAGCAAGTCAGTAGAGTGCGTCAGTGTAAGTCGTCAGAGTAGAGTGCGTCAGTGTGGTCAGAGTAGAGTGCGTCAGTGTAAGTCGTCAGAGTAGAGTGCGTCAGTGTAAGTCGTCAGAGTAGAGTGCGTCAGTGTAAGTCGTCAGAGTAGTGCGTCAGTGTAAGTCGTAGAGAGTGCGTCAGTGTAAGTCGTCAGAGTAGAGTGCGTCAGTGTAAGTCGTCAGCAGAGTAGAGTGCGTCAGTGTAAGTCGTCAGAGTAGAGTGTCAGTGTAAGGTCAGTAGTAGTGTAAGTCGTCAGAGGAGTAGAGTGCGTCAGTGTAAGTCGTCAGAGGAGTAGAAGTCGTCAGTAGAGTGCGTCAGTGTAAGTCGTCAGAGAGTGCGTCAGTGTAAGTCGTCAGAGGAGTAGAGTGCGTCAGTGTAAGTCGTCAGAGGAGTAAGTGCGTCAGTGTAAGTCGTCAGAGTAGTAGAGTGCGTCAGTGTAAGTCGTCAGAGGAGTAGAGTGCGTCAGTGTAAGTCGTCAGAGTAGAGTGCGTCAGTGTAAGTCGTCAGAGTAGTGCGTCAGTGTAAGTCGTCAGAGTAGAGTGCGTCAGTGTAAGTCGTCAGAGTAGTGCATCAGTGTAAGTCGTCACAGGAGTAGAGTGCGTCAGTGTAAGTCGTCAGAGTAGAGTGCGTCAGTGTAAGTCGTCAAGTAGAGTGTAGCGTCAAGTCAGAGTAGAGTGCGTCAGTGTAAGTCATCAGAAGGAGTAGAGTGCGTCAGTGTAAGTCGTCAGAGTAGAGTGTCTCAGAGCTCAGACACAATCACCACTTGTCGCAGGTGAGCTCAGGCAGGTAACCAGGTAAAGGTGATATTACAGAGCAACAGAGTGAGGAGTATTAAGTCGCTATGGTGGAGTAAATCGCTATGAAGTAAATCGCTAAGGTGGATAAATCGCTATAGTGAAGTAAATCGTTATGGTGGAGTAAATCGCTTTGAAGTAAATCGCTAAGGTGGATAAATCGCTATAGTGAAGTAAATCGTTATGGTGGAGTAAGTCGTTTTGGTGGAGTAAATCGCTATTCACATTATACACCAATATCATCGTAGACAACCATACTACGAGGTGGTCAAGTTACTCCCCATCCTCCACTCCCCTTCCCACTCCTCCACTCCACTCCACTCCACTCCTACATCCTCCCCCCCCCACCACCGTCTTCACCACAACAAACTTCAAATGACCACAACACAACAAAATACAGGTGGAAACAACAAATTACTGACCACACCTTAGATAATGTTGTAATGCATCCATACACCAAGTTTAGGTCCAATCCATTCACAATTGTTTGAGTTATTGCCTTCTTGGTGTTCTGTACTGGAGGCTGAACAGGTAAGGCAAGCTCTCTGTATTTGGACGGTGAAAGGTGAATGCTTGTCTGGCACAGGTGAGATAAAATACATGTTAAATCCGTCACACGCAAGCACACACGCAAGCACACACACAGGTGAGGTGACTCTGCCAACAGGTAATGTAATATTGACTATTTCCACAGGTAATAATTCTTTCACCTTCGTGCTATCCAATCACAGCCAGTCAATCACACTCAATCAATCACAGCCAATCACAATGACCTGCTCTGTGATTGGATATACAGCATGTCACGCCAGGTGTGTGTGTGTGTGTGAGCAGGCTACCCCAGGATGAGTGGGGACAGGGTTGAGGCGTGATGCTGCTGTAGGCTTCAGTAAAGTGAGATATAAGAAGCAATATTATCTCCCTCCCTCCCTCCCTCCCTCCCTCTCTCCTTCCCTCCATTTTCACCTCCACCATTATCAGTCACCCTCCCTCTTTCACCAACACCATCCTCCTCTCACCACCACCACCACCACCGTCGACGCCTCTGGGATATATATAAGGAGCGAGCAGGTCGGTGGGACATCATTCTCCCACACACAGCGGCCGAGACGAGACCTAGAGCTCGTCCCCTCCCTCTCACACACGCCCACCAATCACCTGGGGCACACACACCACCTCTCCCAGCGTCGATAGAAGAGAGAGAAGGAAGATTCTACCTACATCTACAGTGAGAAACATAGACAATATCTACGTAAAAACTTGTATTTTTACGTAGGAAGAAAAAAAAAAGGAAAAAGTTTTATTCTAATTCTAAGTGTATTTTGTGACTACTGGGGAAAGTTGTTTAGAAAGTTTTGAGAGACATTTTCGCTGGTTATTTACCTTGGAAAGTTTGTATCGTTTAAAGACAATGAAGTGAAACAAGCTGATGAGATAAACTGTGGTTATACGTAGGTGATAGTTTACAGCGAGACAGTGAGAGATAACGGCAAGACACAGTTTACAGCGAGACAGTGAGAGATAACGGCAAGAGACAGTTTACAGAGAGACAGTGAGAGATAACGGCAAGAGACAGTTTACAGCGAGACAGTGAGGAGACAACGGTGAGACACAATACAGAGAGATAGTATGAGACACATTCAGAACAACCAATATCTTTCCCACTACGACGATACAAAACAGTAAATATCTTCCTCTAAAGTCTCTCTCTCATCTCTCCCTCCACCCCCCCCCCTCTTTCTCTTCCCTCATCTCTACTTTCTTAAACATCAACAAAAACCAATGGAAAGAAAATAAACATTGAGAAAAAAAGAAAAAATACGTGACAATATATATTCATTCGTATAAACTACTAGAAAAAAAATAATAAGGTCGTTATATCCACTGGGGAAAAAAACGTAGCCTTAACTCTATACAATACTACATCCTGGGAAAAAAAATAAAGTCGTCATATCCACTAGGAAAAACAACCTAAAAAAGACTACAATACCACATCCTGGGAAAAAAAATAAAGTCGTTATATCCACTAGGAAAAACAACCTAAAAAAGATTACTATACCACATCCTGGGAAAAAAAAACCCACATCCATACCACTAAATACAACCACAAACCAATGAAAATGAACCTTAACAAAACCACATACCACCAATAGAACCCAACCCCTTAACCCGCCCTTGGGAAACACCACCACTTAACCAAACAGAAGAGGAACCAGGACGGCCCTACGGTAGAACCATGAAGGAGAACAAACTGGTGGTTCTTGGTGCTGGGGGTGTGGGCAAGACCTCGTTGGTTCTACAGTTCCTACAAGGGTTCTTCTCGCCGACCTACAAACCCACTGTAGAAGATTGCTACAGTCACACACTACAGCTACCAAGTGAGTGCAATTATGTAGATTATTGCATGTTGGGTATACTTCTGAAATGTATGTTATGGGGTAAATATATCGCGTATACTCATCAAATATATGCTATGATATATATTCTACGAAATATACGATATATACTACTTATATCAGCCCAACTACCCTAAGCATATACAATTATACCCCCTTAAATTATGGTAAATACTCTCCCGTAAGTTATTGAAATATACCAGGTATATTTATATGTCCTCTCTTGCGGGTATACCACTATATGTACGTTATATTATATTTTGTTATATTAGACAAAGGTAAGTAATGGTATTTATAAGTTACCAAAATATTATCTTGAAATTACTAAAAAAAATAAATAAATGGTTAGAATTTATTTTTTTTTAATTACCAAAATGGACGCTTGTCGGCCATTTTGAATCGGCATGAAAAAAAAAATTCGGAGTTGAATTATGGAAGTTAATCTAAGTTGGTGTGATTAATTAAACTCTCTTTCTCTCTTTATCTTTCTTTTATTTTCGTGATCAATCTTTCTTTATATCACGCTATTTCTCTCTCTCTCTCTCTCTCTCTCTCTCTCTCTCTCTCTCTCTCTCTCTCTCAGCCCCTCCCCTACCCTCTCTCTTCTCATCAAAAATACCCACAAGAAAATACCCCCCAAAAAATACCTGGGTTTAAGGTATCCAACGACGGTACCTTAAACCCTGCGGTATTTAAGGGGTTTAGGGCAGCGTTTGGAGACTTGGTTCGTTCCTAAACCTTAAACTTAGCCGTAAGATTAGGTAGAGTACATGTATACAGTCATACGTAATATACACACATAGGGAGCATCATACATACATACATACACACATACATACATACACACAATTACATATACATACATACATATATAAATACATACACACACATACATACATACATACATACATGAAACTCATTTTGGCGAAGATTCTGATGGATGTTCGCGTCCAATTAGCGAATTAATTTGGCGAGAAACTTTTTTTTGGGGGGGCGGGTTTCAAGTTGGCGGCTCTAATTCTTTTCTACCTACTTAACGCGACAAAGAAACTGAAAAAATATGATTACATTTTTTTGTTTCATTTTAAATCTGTAAAAAAATTTATACTCTTATTTAATGTTTGTTTGTTTGTTTGTGTTGTTGTTTGTGTTTGTTTGTTGTTTGTCACCATTTCCTCAATACGTGACTCATAAAATACAAATTACTCAACAAAATCCCAAAACAAGGAAACATAAACAGCAAACAACAACAAAAACTAAAGTAAATAAGAATAAACTTCAAAACAACAAAAGAATAAAGATGAAAAAAAAACAAAATAAAATAAAAATGGTAACCCAATATAATAATAATAAGACTCGAGTTGCCATTTAATATTTTTCTTTCCCTTTAATTTAACTCTGGGTCAGTATATCATTTTGTAATGTTATTCTTTTAATTTTACTTCAAGACGGTAAGAAACGAGTTTAGAACGTGGTTGATACTAAACTAGACAAGCCTTGTTTTACTCATTTGTGTAGTTAGGTTAGGTATTTTCAGTCTAGGATCGAACGAGTGACTCTCAGGAATAGAAGTGAGTTTTGTTTCCATTCAACCACATCATTCTTTAATTTTAACTAAATTACTAAAGATATTTTAGAATTACCTGAATTGATATTTTATGTTTTTTCTCCCGATTTTTGTAAACATCAATAGAAAAAAACACCAGAGTTGCCAATTCATGTTTTTTTCCCAATTTTATTTTACATCAATACGAAAAATCAACAAAAAAAAACACCAGAGTTGCCAATTATGTTTTTTTCCAATTTTATTTTACACCAATACAAAAAAAAAACACCAAAGTTGCCAAATCATGTTTTTTTTCCCAATTTTATTTTACACCAATACGAAAAATCAACAAAAAAAACACCAGAGTTGCCAATTATGTTTTTTTTTAATATTCCATTATAAAGACCAGCGTAAAAATATCACCTCACAGCGTAGGGAATAAAAGCGTCAACTCTTTCACCCGGGTTTTCCTCTTTGGTCTGACATCAAACAGTTTCCTTTTAGTAAGCTGGAGAATTAATTGGCCCATTTGACAAGTAAGCTGGAGAATTAATTGGCCCATCGACAAACGTTACAAAAAGGCTGGCTTGAAATGTTCTGGCAGTTTGAGAGGTGGGGTGTGTGTGGGGGTGGGGGTGGGGAGGTGTGTGGGGGTGTGGGGTGGGGGAGGTGTGGGGTAAAAGTGGGGGGAGGTGTGGGGGTGGGGGTGGAGAGAAGATGTGAGGATATAGAAACGTGGAGGTGTGGGGGAGAAGAGAGGTGGGGAGGAAGAGAAAGGTAGGGGAGGGAAGAGAAAGGTTGGGGAGGAAGAGAAAGGGGGAAGTGTGAGAATATGATGGACAAGAGAGAAAGGAGGAGGAGTGGAGAGAAGGTTAAGTGTGTGTGTGTGTGTGTGTGTGTGTGTGTTTCTACTTATACGTATAATAATGGTTGTCCCTCATGTAACGAGGATGGCCGGCCCAAGGGCCACCTAGACGTGAATTTGTTTAAGGGGTAGAAGCTGTCGCCAACACAACAACCACATCATGAAGCTGTCGCCAACACAACAACCACAACCTGAGTTAACGAGCTGCATGACCCAATGTCAAGGAATAGTCCGAGAAGACCGGACAACTCGCCAACTGCACTGGCTAACCATTACCCCGGAACACGATCCACAAATCGATTAACATCCAGGTCCCCAATTACTGCTGGGTAGACAGAGGCAAATGGCGTAAAGAAACTTGTACACACACACAAACCTACGGTACAAGGCAGCCACATTTCACTACCATCGCTCTTTAACTTGGTGTAAATATTATAGCTGTAGCAGTCAAATTATTATTATTATTATTATTATTATTATTATTATTATTATTATTATTATTATTATTATTATTATTATTATTAGTATTAAAGGCAATACCTGCATGGAAAAGTGTGTGTGTATAAATTTGCATGTATGTATGTATGTATGTATGTATGTATGTAAATGAAGTGGATCCAACTCGTTAACAGGTGTGACAGAGAGAGAGAGAGAGAGAGAGAGAGAGAGAGAGAGAGAGACGCACACCCACACAGCTGAATTAAATAACATTAACATATCCAGTGAAATTAATTGCAAACTGGAGCATGATACAACCATTTCCCCCCTTCCCTCACCCCTCCCCCTTCCTTCCCCCCTTCCCTCACCCCTCCCCCTTCCTTCCCCCCTTCCCTCACCCCTCCCCCCTTCTCCCCCTTCCTTCATCCCTCCCTCCCTCCCACTCCTTTTACGTGTCCAAAACCCGTGTCACCCGTGCCTTGGGACATCACCCGTGTCTTGTGCGATATGCGTGTCCAACAGCGTAACTGTTATTGGGATTAGTTTGCTCACGTAGCCTTCCCCATGTCCAAAACACGTTTCTCAATGTGATAACTACTTTCTATGTCCAAAACACGTGTCCAAATGGCATAAACCCATCAAATGTCCAATCAAGTACACCCAGCCATCCCTCCTATGTCCAATACACGTGTCCAAATGGCATATCAACCGGAGATATAGATCGATGAGGCGTCACCCTTGTCCAATACACGTGTCCTAAAGGCAACAGACCTTCCCCTCCCACAATTAGATTACCATCACCTTCGTCCATACGTGAGAGAGGTGAAAACTCCCCCTCTCTCTCTCTCTCTCTCTCTCACCATGACAGATTCTCTCTCTGTGTGAAGTGGGTCGAGTGTGTCACATGTTTGAACCTCTAGTCACATGTTCTATCACTTTGTTCAACACGAGAGTCACATGTTTGAACGCATCTTGTACAGGTTGTGAACACGTGTGCTGAACTAATCTGTTTAATATGTCGAGTTGAATGTCGCCGTCTTTACACTCCCTTCTCTCTCCCTTACACCTCCTCTCCCTTATATCCTCCCTCCCTTGCTACACTCTCCCTACACCTGTGGCCTCACACCTTCCTCCCACACACACACACCTTCCCTCCCACACACACCTTTCCCTCCCCACACACACATATTCTCCCACACACACACCTTCCCTCCCTCACACACACCTTCCCTCCCCTCACACACCTTCCCTCCCTCACACACACACACCTTCCCTCCCTCACACACACACACACCTTTCCCTCCCACACACACACACACCTTTCCCTCCCACACACACACACCTTCCCTCCCACACACACACCTTCCCCTCCTCACACACCTTCCCCCTCCCACACACACACACCTTCCTCCCACACACACACACCTTTCCCTCCCACACACACACCTTTCCTCCCACACACACACACACACACACCTTTCCCCTTCCCACACACACACCTTTCTCCCACACACACACACCTTTCCCTCCCACACTCTCATCAATTTTTCTTTCTACTACTACATATTATCTACCACTTTCCTTTCTTTCTTTTTCCTTTCCTTCTTTTACTTTCATGATCAATAACACACAATATATTCGGCTTGTCGTGTCTTGTCGTGTGTGTGTGTGTGTGTGTGTGTGTGTGTGTGTGTGTGTGTGTGTGTGTGTGTGTGTGTGTGTGTGTGTGTGTGTGCTCGTCCCCAAAGGCTCTTATGGTTTCCCTGGGCGGTTAGAGTCATCGGATCGCGTCGTGTCGGAAGCGAGTAAAAGGGAGGGCGGGAAGGAAGGGGAGTGGAAGGGAAGGGTGCAGCAAATATCTTCCTTCTCTCTCTCTCTCTCTCTCTCTCTCTTCTCTGGCACCTTCCACGTGAAAAAAATAAATTTGATGAAAAATAAATTTTTCACTCTTAAAGGCATTCAAGATGGGGAAGTGAGAAGGAGGGAGGGAGGGGAGAGATGAATTCAATTTGAGGAAGCATTTTCCGGGTCGCTCTCAATCACTCTCTATCTCACTTTGACTTCCTCTCTCTCTTTTTTTTCTTCTCTCTCTATTTACTCTATCTCTCTTTTATTATCTCACTTTCTCTTTCT